CTCAGGCAGAAAGAAGGCGAAGGGGATGGTGAGAAACAGCGAGAGCCCTGAGGGTACGTCGGGCGGGGCGATGCTGGTGGCCGGCGGCTCCCGGGAGGCCATCTCTCTCCGCTGGGTGCACTGGCTCTGCAGCGCAGCTCTAGCTGGCAGCAGCCCTTCAAATATTACCCCTGCCGGACACACCCATCAGACGTGCAGGGAAAAAAAAAAAAAAGTTCCAGCCTAGCAGGTCCTTCCACACTCGCTCAAGCCAAAGAGTTCTAAGTAGGTGGGGACCTGCCATGAGGAAGGGCAGCAGGGAAGTCCTTTCTGTGCTTTTCTCCCCTAAGGGATTTTAAAATTATAGCTGCAGTGTGCCCCGTTGGCAGTTAAAGTGCTATTGGAACCCACCAGCTACACTAGGATTTACATCTTGGAAATCCTAGGGCTCAGTTCTGCTCAGTTTAGACTCAACTCTGGGGCAGTGGGTTTGGTCTGGTTTTATTACTCCAAGTGATGCCAGCAACAGCCACCCTGCCAGCATTCTAGGCTAGACTACTAACTTAAAAGCGTTGTAGTTTCAACATTTCCCTTCTTTCTCTGGGCCCCTCTTTATAGACACTTTCTGTCCTTGTTTGCTCTTTGAGAGTCCCACCATAGCAACTTTGCTGCTCTCCCTGTGGTCTTGAACCAAGAATGCGTGCCTGAGAAGGGCCCTGCTGAGTCAGTTGGGTGTTGCCCAAGCCCAAACCTTCCTTTTCTGTCTCACCTTATCCTGTGCCCCTTCCACTCCTAGCTAGATCCCATCGAAGAGCCAAGGTTGGAGCCAAGCAGTTCCTTCCTGGCCCCCACCCACCTGTCCAGTGCATTATCCCACAGCGCTACACCAGGACTCCAATCTTATATAATAGTTAGATAATAAAAGTCCATTTCCAACATCTTCCTGAAAATCCTGGAGACTTTAGTAAGGTACCTCCACACCTTCACCCCTCCAAACTCCTAGGAGAGCTGCCTTCACACACAGAGGAGTTTTGTTTGGGGCAGAGGAAACCTTCCACAGTACTGCAGAATGGAAGGAATTAGGTTGGTGTCTGTGAAACCGCATCCTCCAGTTCTGAGTTGTGTGTGGGGACTGGTTGCAAGTTTGAGACCCAAAGACAAGCAACCCCTTTCACACAAATGAGTCCCACTTCTCCAGCTGCTCAAGCCCACCAGCTGCTCCCTAGAAATTCGGGTACAGTGTTGCTATGGGTTGGAATCTACTGGCTGGCACTTAACAATAACAACAACTCCTCTACTTTAGAATTGGCTAATCTTTATTTCTCTGACACACCCTCCAGAAAGGCCTGGTGTCCCAGGCGTGGCTGCAGAGTCCATTCAGGATGCCTTTGGTGGCTCAGAGGCTCATTTGGGAAGTGCCTCCTGTGTGGAGAGGATGTGGGAAGGGTTACTGTGAGTACTGGGTAATTAGGGTCACGTTCATTAACAAGACCTGTGCCTTCCAGGGCCTGCCCTCTGAGACACAGAGGGGAAGAGTTCAGGCAAATGAAGCCAAAAGTAAAAACCTTGTAAAGACAGGCAGCGGGCACACCAAGTACACCTCAAGCCAGCGTGGTCATCTCCTTCTCCCTATATAAATCTAGGAGGGAAGCGAGAGTCCTTGTGTACTAGCTTAACCCAAGCAAGGCAACCATTTCCCCAGGAATCCCACCTCTTGTCATCTCACATAAATGTTGCAGTAAGCACAGGGCCACTCCAAGGGCCTTAAGCACAGGCTACATGGTATAGTGGGGAAAGCTTAAGGTAAAGTAAGAGGAAAAGCAATGTTTTTGTTGTTGTTGTTTTAAGCTTTTATTGTGAATTGATAGTTTACATGGGAGAACATCAGTTTTGCACACATTGTACCGTATTTTGTTTCACTGCAATGATTACAATCCCCTCCATGCATCATCATTTAACAATGTTTGCTTCTATTCCCTCTGGGTTTTGTTTTTGGTTTTAATGTACACAAAAATACTCAGGAATATGTAATCATGTAAACAAACAAAAGGCACATTCTGCAAGCCAGCCTCCTGCCTGCCAGCACACCGCCTCTTTCCATGAATCTAGAATCCTCAGCTGGTCCTCTCTCCATGTCCCCACCTCTGCCTCCATCTCCGATGTCGCTGCTTCTCTGATTACGGCCCCACCTTCATGCTCTTTTCCCTTGATGGTCCTAGGGTCCTCTGTCCCTGGAATGTAAGATTAACTACTCCCCCCTTTATTGTACAAAACTGATACCTTTACAGTTGTGCCCATTGCAATTAGTCATGATAACAATTACTCACTATTGAGTCAAAAGAATCCTATCCCCATCTCATTCCACCAGAGGAAAACAACATTTTTAAGGTTCATTTCTCATCTATGAAGTGGAAATAATAATAGAACCCAGAACCCCGCAGAGATTGAAAGGACCTGAATCATTTCTACCTTCCTGGGCAAGGAGAATATTATAAAATGAAGATGTAATAAAACAACCTTTAGGTATCTTTTAAATATTTCCATTTAATCAAGTAACATTTTATTATATATGGCAAAATTATTTTTTAAAGAAAACAAAAAACATTGCTGTCAATTTGCACATGGAACACAACATTCTAGGACTAAGTAGAACTGCCCCATAGGATTTCCAAGTCTGTAACCTTTATGGAAACAGACTGCTTTGAAGTGACTGGTGGATTTGAATCACCGACCTTGTGGTTAGCAGTCTGTGCTTAACTTTTGTACCACTAGGGTTCCTTATGAGGCAAAGTATAACCCACTGTAATTGGGCTATTATAAGAAAACTATAGGTTTTCTCATTTATCACAGGTGTTGAGATTCCATAAGAAGTTCAGAGCTGTCAATCAATGCATCTTTCTGTCTTTAGGTCTGAACATACTTGAAAGCAAGGTCAAAGTTCAATGTGAGGCTGAAGGGCCTCCTGGACTTCTCTGCTTGGAACCTGCTGGTTTCCATCTCAGGGGACTGAGGACTTGATAAATGCATCCGGAAACCACTTCAACCCTGCTTGACACTGCTGATTACAATAGCATTGTCTTGGTTTTTCATTTGTTAGTTGCAAATGACTAAACAAGATAATGCATCTGAAAACAACATAGGGCAGATGCTTAATGAGCATCTATTTATCTAATCCTGAAATCTCTTCTGGCTACCTTTATTATTCAGTGTGACCAGTACCTTCTCTGCTCAATATTATCATTCTGAATTTGTAAAATTGTTTTTAAAAGTAGGATAAGTACTGGAATGCTAACCACAACATTGATAGTTCAAACCCACCAGCTGCTTCTTGGAAACCCTGTATAGGGTCTCTGTGAGTTGAAACTGATTCGATGGCACTTAACAACAACAGCAATATGTCTACAAAAAAGTACCTAAAATATATAGAACATGAAACCACCACCCAGATTAAGAAATAGAACTTTGCCCGCCCTCTCTCAATCATTTCTCTCCCCATCCTCCCCAAAGATAACCACTTTCCTTACACCTAATATTATAGATAGTTTTTGCCTATTTGGGGATAGAATAATATCGCATGGGTTTCTTTGGATCTGGCGTCTTTCACTTAACATTATATTTGTAAGAGTCACCCATGTTCTTGGGTGTGGCTGCAGTATAGTATTCTCTGCTGTATAGTATTCTGTTGTATAAATACATTACACTTTATCCATTCTATTGTTTATGTACATTTGAATTCTTTCAATAAGAGGTTTTTATATATAACACTGCGATGAACATTCTAGTACATGCCTTTTGCTGCATGTATGTATGTATTGTTGTTGTTGTTGTTGTTATGTGCCGTGGAGTCGGAACCGACTCATAGCGACCCTGTACAGGGTTTCCGAGGGTGTAAATCTTTACGGGAGTAGAAAGCCTCATCTTCCTGTATGTATTATGTACTGATATTTCTCTTGGAAATAGTTTTAGGAGTGGATTTGTGAGTATGTCAAACTATTTTCTAAAGTAGCTGAACCATTTATATTTCCACCAATAATATGAGAGGGCTTCAAAAAAGCTCTTGAAAAATTCCATTTTCTTTAAGTGTCAAATTACAGTTGCTTATAATTAGTGTTTGCACTAAACATACACATGCTCAAGCACTGATCTAAAGGATAGTGATTTGAACTCACCCAGTGTTACCTCAGAAGACGTTGACGTTGTTAGGTGCCGTCGAGCCAGTTCTGACTCATTGCAACCCTGCATAAGGTTTCCGAAGAGCAGCTGGTGGGTTTGAACTGCTAACTTTTCGGTTCAAACGGACCTTTCAGTCAAGTGCTTATTCTACAACTCCACACCAGGACTCTACTTCAAAAGACAGGCCTAATGAACTGTTTCTGTTAAGATTACAACCAAGGAAATCCTAGGGAACAGTTCTACCTTGTAAAGCACAGGATCACATGAGTCGGGCTGATGCGATGGTACCTAACAACAACATCATGGGTTATAAGATACACTTGATCTTTACATCCTTTTATTTTTAATTTACCTTTTCCAGTTTTAGGTGCCATTGAATCAATGTTGACTCAGAGCATCTCCATGTGACAGAGTAGAACAGCCCTGTAGGGTTGATTAAGCTATAATTTTATGGAAAGGGTTTTCCATGTCTTTCTTCCACAGAGCCACTGAGTTGGTTTGAACAGCTAACCTTTTGGTTAGCAGTCAAGCACTTAAGCATTGAACTACCAGGGCTCCTTAACTAACTACTGTAAGGAGCATGGAGTCCTGGTATGGCTCAGTGAGTTAATGCGCTGGACTGCAAAGTTGGTTTGAACAGCGAGGTTGGTAGTTCAAGCTCCTCGGAAACCCTATACAGAGTTGCTGTGGGTTGGAACTGACTCAAAGGCCCTTAACAACAACACCAACAACAATAGGGAGCATGGTGGCTCTGTAGAATAAGCACTAGACTTTAGACTTTGAACCACAAGGCCAGTGGTTCAAGCCCACAAGCCACTCCTCTGCTACTGCAAAGATTCACAGCCTCGGAAATCCTATGCAGTCTCTATGAGTTGGAACCGACTCAATGACACTTAACAACAACAACAAAAACATATTTATAACACTTACTACTATATTTACGAAGTCCT